CCCAACGGACCGAGCGGGCCGAACGGACCTAACGGGCCGAACGGTGGTGGACAAGGACCGAATGGACCGAACGGTGGCGGACAAGGACCAAACGGACCTAATGGCCCCAATGGAGGTGGACAAGGCCCCAACGGACCAAACGGTCCGAACGGACCCAGTGGCCCGAACGGCCCGAACGGACCAAACGGTGGTGGACAAGGACCGAATGGGCCAAACTGTTGTGGAGAAGGACCAAACGGACCTAATGGCCCCAATGGAGGTGGTCAAGGCCCCAACGGACCTAGTGGGCCGAACGGACCTAGTGGGCCGAACAGACCTAGTGGGCCGAACGGACCAAGTTCGGGAGGACATGGACCAAACGGACCGAACGCTGGTGGACAAGGACCAACAGGACCAAATGGTGGCGCGCAAGGACCTAATGGACCGAACGGTGGGGGTCAAGGACCCAATGGACCGAACGGTAGCGGACAAGGACCGAATGGACCAAATGGAGGTGGGCAAGGTCCCAATGGACCGAACGGACCAAGTGGGCCGAACGGGCCGAGTGGTCCAAATGGACCCAGTAACGGCGGACAAGGACCTAATGGTCCGAACGCTGGAGGACAAAGACCAAACAGACCAGGTGCAGGACAAGGACCAAACGGACCTAGTGGACCGAATCAACCTGGAGGTTCCACTGGGCCCAACCGCCCAAGTACATCTGGCGGCCAACCCGGAGGCAGTCCGTCGGGACCAGGCAATGGTAATGCACCGGAAACTGAAGCTTGCACGCTGCTTGGCTTAACGCTTATGCTTTATTCACGCTTTACTTGAGCTGCTTCTGTCGCTTACTAAGGAAGTCTCGTTAACAGGTTATAACGCCACCTTTGGACAGGCAACTGTGGCGCTGCAGACTGGTAAGTACACAATGCACGCTGCTTTACAAGGCCCGCCAGCCACTTTCGCTTGTTGCTTACTGCTTTTCGGTTTCTTGACAGGTGGTCAGTCACCAGGCAATTCTTCCACCCTTTTCTCCTCTCACGGTGGTTTTACTGGCTTCCACGCACAACTCACAATAGGCAACACCTCTTTCACTAAACCATTTACGGCAGGTTTTGCGATAGGCTGGGGTAATAAGGGTAACTCGTCTAGCAGCCACTCATCAAGTAGCCACTCATCTAGCAGCTCCTCATTTAGTAGCAGCTCATCTGGCAGTAGCATTTTTGGCACGACATCTGGTTTTGCTTCAAGCAGCACACAAAATGTGAGCAGTAGCAGTTCAAATCCTGATTCAGGAATTACTAACATTCAACAGACCGGAATTGAGTCAGGCTCTAGTTCAGAAAGTCAGGCCTTTCCGAACACTACTCAGGCAATTAGTGGGACCGGGTCTGCATCCAGTTCTCAAAGTCAGGCCTCTTCCATCAATGGGCCCAATACTCAAACCCATAATGGGGCCGAATCAACCACCAGTACCGAAAGTCAGGCGTCTCCCAACAATGGCTCTGAGAACGTTAGCGGAAGCGAGTCAGCCGCTACTTCCGAAAGTCAAGCGTCCGCCAACAATGGCTCTCAGAACCCTAATGGACCTCACTCAGCCTCCAGTTCCGAAAGTCAAACCGAAATTAACGCTAGCAGTGCAACAGAGTCACAATCAATCTCAGCCGACAATGGACCCCAGAGCACTGGCTCGGCTAGTCAGCCAGGATCAATTGCAATTGCCGAAAGTCAACAATTTTCCGAAAATGGACTTCAAAATGCTAGCGGTGCAAGCTCAAACGCAAATTCGGGAAATGGAAACTTATCTCAAAATGACCTTAACAATAGTTATGATTCAAATTCAGATGCGAATACGGGGGGTCAAATCCCACCTAACAACGGACAGGAAAATGTTCCTGGGTCTAGTTCACAAATACAAAACTCAGGCGACAGTTTAGCCACCGGTTCTCAATCTGCTACCGGTGCAGGCACATCGTCCACGCCCAGTAGTGGAGCCCCTGCAAACAATACGCCAAATGACGTTGCTGACACAGATATCGAATCGAATTTAATAGGCCAGGGTGAAACCGACAGTACACTAGGCTTAATCGACAACACCAACATTCCAACCTCTGCTTCTGAGAGTCAAAATTTAGCCGACACAACCAATACCGCCACCGAATCTGGAAGTCCTAACTCATCCCCAGGCTCGTCGCAAAGCGCAACCCTTACTAACGGCCAAAGCTCTTCAACTGCTGGCAGCGAAAACGTGGATGCATCAAACAATGCCGGTATTTTATACCGTTCTACTTAATTGTTGCACGGGGGATCTCAAGGGTGGTGTGAGTAGTCACTCTGCATTTCATGAAAACTGACACTATTGCCTTATTTTAGGTGGCGCCCAGCCCGGCCAGGGTGGACAACCTGGAGGACAACCTGGTCAAGGCGGACAGTTCGGAGGACAACCCGGCCAAGGCGGACAGCCTGGAGGACAGCCCGGCCAAGGCGGCCAGCCCGGAGGACAACCCGGTCAAGGCGGACGGCCTGGAGGACAGCCCGGTCAAGGCGGACAGCCTGGAGGACAACCCGGTCAGGGCGGACAGCCTGGAGGACAGCCCGGCCAAGGCGGACAGCCTGGAGGACAGCCCGGCCAAGGCGGACAGCCTGGAGGACAACCTGGGCAAGGAGGACAGCCCGGCCAAGGCGGACAGCCTGGAGTACAGCCCGGCCAAGGCG